TCAACTGCCACTAGCGAGCACTATGTGAAGAAGGCCAAATGCGAGGCAAGCAAATGGCGACCAGAGCATGGTTTTGGCGAAGCTGGAGTGGATGAGGTGGTCCGTCTGCCGTACAAGGATCCTTGGATTTGCTTTCAGATAGTTTCGGACGCAACAGAGATACAGACAGAGTGAGAGAGAGGGAGTGAGATAAGATGAGATATAAGATGATATAAGTGGGTTGCCTCCGTGTCTGTCTTCGGCCCCGGTCCCAGCCCCTGCAGCTTAAGGTCTACGCGGAAGTTTCAGAGTACGACAAGGTGGATCCAGAAACAGTTTGTTCTGAGCAGGATTTCTACAAGCTACCCTTTGAGAAGCAGTGCTCAGGATTTGACAACAAGAGTCTTTATTTATCTTTATTTTGTGTTTAGTGCTTTAGCCTCTTTTCATCCAAATATATTATTCCCAGAGTTTGTGAGGACCCGTGGACTATCAGAATATTTTTGAATATTTTAGATTTTATTGAATCTACTTTTTGGAACACCTTGTGATGGGGGATGTTTGCTGGATTCGTAGGGTTTTGGGGTTGTGCGGGACCTTCAGAATAATTTTGGGAATTGCTGCTTGAGGCGGGAATCGTGGAGACTAAGCCTGCTGGAACTCAGCGCGTTTGTGCGTTTCTGCGATTCTTCCAATGGTGACCTTGGTGCTTTTGCTGCGCTCGATGATGCAGCGAAATCAGAGATGGTTGCGCGGTCTCCGTTGCGTGTGTGCAGGTGGCGCTTCCCTACTCTGGTGGAGCATGTTCAGGCCAATGGAGGTTTGGAGGAACCCAATCTTATACTAGCAGATTTGCTGGCGTGGTTTTTTATGGCTTTTTCATGCTAATTTTTCATTGTTCAGATTTGTTCAGTGTATTTCAGTGTATTTCAGTGCATGGGAACACTTTGTAAGTGAGGAGAAGTCAGATCCCGGCCTGTGGAGGGATGTGATCTCTGGCCTATTGGATAGCTGGCCGGATATTCCCTTACGAGTGGATCGTCAGTGTGACTTGGGGCAGGTGCTGCACGGGATTGCTCGTTCTGTGCAGGTTCACTATGGGGCCGAGTGGACGCAACGGGTCGCTCTGCTGGTGCCTTCCACTTTGGAGCGGCAGGAACTACTAAAGCTGCAGAATTTTCCTGATCTCATGCTGACCGTGCTGCGCCTTGCAGAGGAACAGTAATCTTGCCTTCTGTGTTTTCCATAACGGTCTGTTCCAGACATGAAACTTTGTCAGCCATCATTCCTTCTTCAATGTTTTTTTAATCGTCTATCATTCGCCGCTGCAGATGCACGGACGACCATTTTGCTCTCATGGTGCTCCGAGCTGGTGAGTGGATTGCAGCTGTGTACGATGGAAAGTGTGACTCGGGCATCTTGGAAGAGGCCAAAAAGGTTGTCAAGACCATTGGCCAGCAGTGCTCAGAGAAGTTCCCTACGTTTCTGGTTATTTTCAGCCGAACACGTTTTCTATGTTTTGAAGAGTTTTGGAATGTTTTGGAGCGTTTCGGTCTTTCGCCGTGTGCAATTGGTACCGTAATGCACGAGCTGGCGTGTGAGGTTGGAGAACATCGCACTTGAACACGCAGAAGTCCCGAAGCAGTTGGACCAATGGTCTTGTGGGCACAGAGCGATTCTAACTGTCCAGCTGTTACTGCAGAAAGGGCTTGGCCTGCGGACACCGGATGGATGGTTGCGGCCTATGTCGAGGATGGTCATTGCAGAGGAGGAGATTTCTGCAAGTGCCCTTGATGGAGTGTGTGCTGGAAAGATGCCAGCGATGCCAGTGAAGAAGGAGCCACCACGCCTGGTCAAAGCTCCTGTGACAACAGCAGCTATCCGCCCATGCACACCAATCAAGGTGAAGGCAGACATCCAGGCACAGCTGGATTCCAAAACTTCGCCTGTGAAATCACAGGCTGCTTCGCGGCGTGGCTCATTTCCCCAGACTACGGGCAGTGCTGAGGTTGCACCGCCGTCCCGAAGCCAGCAAACCGAACCTGGTCTGAGCAAGAGCTCCCCAATGAAGCAGGAAGCGAAACCAGAGCCGAAACCTACCAAGAAATCCCCACCAAAAGGGCAAGCCAAACCAGAGCCGAAACCTTCAGAGCGTGTGACCAAGGACGACCCAGCAGCACAGAACAAGTCGAAGCTGGAGAAGTCAGATGATGACATGGACATGTCATTCGAAGATGCTTTGTCCCAGAAGGTTTCTGAAATTCTTGAGCTGCGCCAGACCAACCTCATTGAACGCAAGAAGATGCAGCGAGCCAAGAACATCCTGTCGAAGAGCGGCCTGGACTTCAACATGCACTTCCAGAAAAAGCATGCAGCCAAGCTGGAGGAAGGACACTGGCATGCTTTCCTGCTTGGCGTCGTTGGCGAACCTGATCCGGCACAAAGCGGAAACACTCCTGGCCTCTCTTGTGTAGTTTGCCGGTCATTGCTCCACGAGTTCAAGATCCATGAGTTTGCAGACATGATCAAGAAGGAGGAGGAAGAAAAGGAACGCAACAAGAAAGCCGGAAAGCGAGTCAAACCAGAGGGAGATGAGAACACCGACCCCAATGCCATGGACATGGTTCCCTACACTGGCCAGCCAGAGCCTTTGTACAAGCGGATGCGGCCTGGACGTCCTTGTCGTGGAGAGACTACCAACTTTGACGCGCTGAAGTTTCTTTCCGAGCATCGTCCTGGTATGTACAAGATTCTCACTCGGGACGAGGCAAGGAGATTCCAAATTGTTCCAACATATTCAATCGAGTTCTAGAGATTTCTATTTTAGATGTGGCTGCGTGCAGCTGGCCCCTAATTAAAGTTTGACCAGGCCCTCCAGCGCTTGCCTGTGAACAAGAGATCCCAAGAGGACATTGCGGCCGAGATGAAGAAACGCCCAGTGTTGTGCAATGTTTGCGGTGTGTACTTCCACCTTCCACACTTGAGCAACAACATTGCATTGCACCTGGTCCTGTTAGTATTTTTATATATTTTTATGTATTTTTATGATTTTTGTATGTATTTAC